CTAGGCAACTAGCAAAAGATAGGATCCTACATCACACTCCTCTCATTGACGGCATAAGCAGTCGAACAAACGGAGAAGATTAACCACAACAAACATGGTGGACAAAGGATATCACAAACGCACTCTGGGCACCGTAGTCAATGAGACAGGAAAGTTAGCAAGAGATAAAGTGGCTTTCTGGCATGCTGTAAAGTGTGTGATATTCTGCAAAGGATTTGCGACATGAAGAAGATGAATAATTCAGACAAGTTCTAAAAGGATTCAGAATTAGAGGCTGATTTACCTGCAACAGGCTACCTGGCAGTTGCTGTGTAATGTACAGGCCAGATTTTAAAGTTTTACATCATTGCACTCGGAACACTATCCCACATGTTTCATTTCTCTACTTCAGCAGCCAGTGGTGAATTACCATGCTGATGTTGTCTGGGGCAATCTGATTTGTTCCACCTACATCTTGTAGTAGTAATTTTGCACAAACATATCGCATTTAATCATCAGGGTTATAATTAGGATATAAAGTATTCCTCGAGTTCTCAGAGTATATATTTGTTTCATTATATACTGTATAATTTTTTATTCAAGACAATTATGTAATCTGTATTACTGTTTCAAATATTGATTTGTTTACATCTTTCGGTGTTGTTATTAACACAGAAAATGTATTATGCATATTTAGACAACCTTACTAATATTGTGTCATTTAAATAGTGGATTTACTTTACTCTTAGTATTACAGTTGACTCTCCTTGTTGTTTTATCTTTAAGAGAAATGTTTTCACAGATAGCATGGCCAACATCTACCCTTCTATATATGAATTTTAGTTCTAGAAAGTGAATAAAATCAAAGAGAGAAGAGGATTATGTAAATTATAGACTGCAGGGAGGAGACACCAACCAGAAGATCAAGAAAGCTAAACAAGAACCATGGGAACATTTAAGAGAGTCACTAGCAGAAAATGAGAAAACGGCCAGCAGAACATTTTTCAAAGTAGTAAAAACTATGTGAAAAAAGCAACCCAACAGTAGTAATTAACGATAAAAGAGGAACGTCATTAATAGACCCACCAGAAAAAGCTAAAATTTTAGTAAGCTTTAGTGAGCTCTCTAACCTCTTAGGAGATTGCCAGGAAAGAACAACCAAAGACTACAAAGCAACAGTGCTAGAACCTGATATACCAATGACTGAAGTAGTTAAAGTAATTAAGCAGTCACCCAAATATAGAGCACCAGGTGCTGATAGATTAGGTTAGTTGCGTATCCTTTACAGGACGTTGCAGAACCAACCCTAACAGCCCCTGGCTCATAACCTTCAAAGCAAGGTTGTGTGGTTTCTCTAGGCAAATTTACGTCCAGTAGTTTTCCATTGCTTTCTGGACGGTCGGCTTTCTTGATACCACTGTCGAAACCAACGCAAGGCGTATTGCCCGCAGCTGGGATCGAACCTGGCATCCCGGCATTACGAAGAGAAGCGTTCGCATCAACTTAGCCACATAGGCTGATAGATTACCAACAGAAATAATCCAAGCAGCAGGTGAAAACAATATTAGATTGCTCCACAGAATATTCAATGTGGCATGGGTACAACAAACTGATCCTATTGACTGGCAACATGCAATAGTTGTAACATTGTGGAAGAACAAGGGAAGCAAGCGAGAATGCAATCAATATTGAGGCATCTATCTCTCTTTTAAGTCATGTTGGGAAAAATGCATGCTTATATAATAGAAATGAGGCTGTGACCAGTGATGGAACCACAGTTGACAGAACCGATAGGTTGCAGAAGAAATGGAAGCTGCACAGATCCTATCTTCACACTTAAACAGTTAATAAAAAAGAACATTGAATATGAACAGAACTTCAAGTAGCATTTGTAGACCAGTAGAAAGCTTTTGACAGAGTCAGTCAACAACATTTCTAAAACAATGGTTCATTATGGAGTAAGTGAACACCTCACTGAAGTTTGCAAAAACTTAATGGAGATTGTACAAGTGTAGTTAGAATAAATCAGGGAACATCCAAACCATTCAAAGTAACATCTGGAGTAATACAGGAATGTATCTTATCACCACTTCTGTTTATCACCTACACTGACAGTTTAGGCAAAGATGCCAGGCCCAGGAACAAAAATAATAGTAACATCACTGAATTACTCTTTGCTGACGACCAGGTCTTGATTGCAGATACAGCAATGAATTTACAACATCTCATATCCATGAATGAAGAATGTAAATCAAATAATATTAGAATCAACATCGAAAAGACAGAAATAATGTCAATAGCAAGAAAGAAGCAGAATTTAAATATAGCACTAGAACAAACATATATTAAACAGGCATCTGAGTTTAAATATCTTGAAACAATATTAATTGAAGATGGTAAAATGGAGGAAGATGTTAACATCCGATGCAGTAAAGCAGGCCAAGTATTGGGACAACTAGCTTCCGTCTTACAGCATAAGGCAACCTCAATCAGCACAAAGAAACACCTCATACGAAGCATATTCATTGCCACCCTATGCTGCCGTTGTCAGACATGGTCACTCACAACAAAACAAAAACGATAACCATGGAATGAGGTGTCTGAGAAAGACTGCAGGAGTGACCAGAAGAGATAAAATCAGTAGTAGTGCTCTATATATACTCCAGCAAAGTAGTGCTCTATACACTCCAGCAAAGTACTGCTCTATACACTCCAGCAAAGTAGTGCTCTATACACTCCAGCAAAGTAGTGCCCTATATTACTGTACTTCTGGCATCAATCACAGGTCTCTTCCTGTAAAGTAAAGCAACCCTATCCAAGTTGTAGTCTAAGCAAATTTTTGACTGCATGGGATTTTAAGTTCATCGGTTACCTGACTTTATTCACGGGCCCGTGTGAGTTCCGGGGCCCTATTATAGGAAAAACAAGAATGGACCTGCTGGATACCCGAAAGCATGCCATAAAGGTCAAATTACTTGGAGCTTCCTCTAAGTTGGAGTGGATTTGCCTGAAAGGTAAGGAACCAACAGTCTGCATACCAATGAGTCAGATCTGTAAAATATATGTGTACACAACACTTAGTTTGTGGAACAGGACTACAGTCCAGAAGTGGACGAACAACCAGAACTTTCCATTGGAATTTACAGCTGGTGAACATGAAGAAGAAGAGATCTGTCTTTTAGCAGCATGTTTAACATCATAACGAACCTCTGCTGAATCAGTCTTTAACATCATACCGAACCTCTGCTGAATCAGTCTTTAACATCATACCGAACCTCTGCTGAATCAGTCTTTAACATCATACTAAACCTCTGCTGAATCAGTCTTTAACATCATACTAAACCTCTGCTGAATCAGTCTTTAACATCATACCGAATCTCTGCTGAATCAGTCTTTAACATCATACCGAATCTTTGCTGAATCAGTCTTTAACATATACCGAACCTCTGCTGAATCAGTCTTTAACATATACCGAATCTCTGCTGAATCAGTCTTTAACATCATACCGAATCTCTGCTGAATCAGTCTTTAACATCATACCGAACCTCTGCTGAATCAGTCTTTAACATCATACAGAACCTCTGCTGAATCAGTCTTTAACATCATACCGAACTTCTGCTGAATCAGTCTTTAACATCATACCGAACCTCTGCTGAATCAGTCTTTAACATCATACCGAACCTCTGCTGAATCAGTCTTTAACATCATACCGAACCTCTGCTGAATCAGTCTTTAACATCATACCGAACCTCTGCTGAATCAGTCTTTAACATCATACTAAACCTCTGCTGAATCAGTCTTTAACATCATACCGAATCTCTGCTGAATCAGTCTCACTGTATTTATACTGTGCTGTAATGTTTGCCTGATCTAAAAGAGCTTTAAATACATTAACCTTATCATAAATTATTGTTATAAATATATTGTATTTCTGTATTACATTTGGCTAAGAGCTTATGCTCTGTGGGGGGTAAACGAACAACACCAAGGATCAACATCTGTAAAGAGACATGAATGCCTAGAGCACCTTCTTCTACTCTTCCTCTACTTACTTCATCAAAGTATTGCAGGAAGATGATCTTCTGTTGTTTAAATTGATTTTCATATCTTTAAGTCTGTTCTTGATGCCATCATTCCATATTCTGCAGGGTCACTCCCATGTTCTGCATCCATTATATTTTCAGCATGGCTCTCTGTGACAGCAGGTACTAGGGCATTCTCATCAGATGGCCATCCATCTCATCTGTTGCTCTTTACAGAAATGCAAGACCGCTTTCTGTCCTAGTCTTTTTCTAATTTCTGCATTGTTAACTGTATCACTTCTTGTTACTCCAACAGCTTGTCTGAGATATCTCATCACTGTAGTTATAAATTTTCACTCATCAGCCTCTCGAATCATTTTGCCCTGAGATGAGAAGCTGCAAAAACTGACACCTGCGGTTGGGTCCAATTACCCATTAATGTCACTTTTCTGACTTGTCTATAGCGACCTGTTTACAAGATGCATGGTTAATGCTCCAGGTGTTTTTTCATAGGCGCAAACATTTAGGAGGTCAGAATATGAATAAATTAACTAAAAATAGCTTCTATGGGATATTTTTCTTTGAACCAAATAGCTTTCTGAAGCCAAAACTGACATCAAGTTTTGACATGAGCCTCAGTGACAGAGGTCGCGGGGTCAGGTATGAAACATGGAAAACATGTTTTTTTTTTAGGTCTTGGTGAATGTATTCCAATTAATGATTCACAGTGTCCATATTAATTTAATTATTCCTTTTATATATTTTGCACACACACAAATGTTACACAGATAAATCAATTGTTAATCAATTTATTAGTGACTTGTGTAAAAACTAAATTGAAGATTCTGTTGGAATTTCAGCGAGGTCGTGATTCATTAAGTAGTGTTCTTGAAGCAAGAGGGTCTATGTCTGTCACTGGTAGCACAAAATTGGTTCAAATAAAATATAGTTCTTGTTAGATTATGATTTCTACCAAGTTTTACAATTAAAAAAGCTCACCTTTAGGACCTTGAGGACCTCGAGGTCCTTCCTTGCCTTGCCCAGATTTCCAAATACCTCCTTCTCCTGACGATTCAAACTCCCCAAATCCAGTTTCACTGGGCCAGCTTGCAATTCTTCCAGGAGGACCTGGAGGACCAGGGAGACCTGGCAACCCGGTCGGACCAGGTAAACCATCTCTACCAGGTGTGCCAGGTTCTCCAGGTATACCTGAGGGTCCAACTATCGTAATACCCTGAAAACAAAGTGAGCAGAGTTAATTCTTCTAGTAGCAATTATTTCACCGTTCATTTATTAGTTAATTCTTGAATGATATCATTTCTAGAGACTATGCTGCCCTTTTCTTCTTCCTCTTCTTCTTCTTCGTCTCCTTCTTCTTCTTTCTTCTTCTTCTGCACAAGACCTTAAAATCTTAAAAAGATGACTGGAAGGTTGTTTTTTTGGTTTACAGCTTGGCTACAATATCTGTGCCCTTCAACCTGACTCATCCCATGGTTCTTTCTTAATAGCTGACCACAAATGATGTCCCAGGTTTGGTAAGAGCAAGTTTTCCGGCTTTCTGTGTTTCTTCCAAGTTGCTGCTAAGGTTTTCGCGCATTTCTTCTGGCGAGGTGTGTTTGATCTTCACCAAGAATTTCCTTGAATTAGCAATCTTCGCCATACATTTCCTTGAATTAGCACCAGTTGCCGCGTTCTGACAACTCTCCAGATCTACTAAAGTGTAAAATTGTTCTGATTGTCAATTCGTCAACCCAGCAGTATACATCTAGAATTGCATTGTCTTTTATTCATTGCTGTCAGCTGCCGGCGATATCTGTGTTCTATATTTCATCTGACAGATTAGTTAATGCAGGAAAGCTGTATGGGCTTTCAACAAAACCAATCGTTCCATGTTGTCAGCATTAAGGCCGCGTATGCAGAAGCGGATGTAAGGTAACTACTATTCGTATTCGGCCCGACCGCAACTATTTAGCTGAATACCGAATAGTCAATAGGTCCACTATTCGGCGCCGAAGCGAATACGAAGCAAATATTCTGTACAGCCCTATTTAAAAGGTAAGTGTATGTTTGTAGTTAAGAAAAATAATTTTATTCAGTACATTTTTGTTTCTTTGTGTCGAGGGAGGATTAATAAAAGCAAAAGTGCTTGTGTTTATATGTGTATGTGTGTGTATACATGTTCATGCCTGTGTGTGTGTATGTGTGCGAGAGAGAGTGAGAGAGAGAGAGAAAGAGAGAGAGAGAAAGAGAGAGAGAAAGAGAGAGAGAAAGAGAGAGAGGGGGAGAGAGAGAGAGGTGGGGAGAGGGAGTGAGACAGAGAGAGAAAGATCCTTAAACAACACTCAACAGCACACCACATGCAGTGTAAAACACACCAGAAGAAATATTTGATTACCTTAGGTCCTGGTTCGCCACGCAATCCTGGCTGGCCTCTATCACCAGGAGGTCCAGGAATACCTGGAAGGCCAATCTCTCCTCTGCCTGGTAATCCGGGCTCACCTGGCTCCCCCTTGGGACCAACTTCCAGCTCAGGTATAACATCCAGTGTTCCAGGAAGTCCTGGGGCTCCAGGAAGGCCTGGGGGCCCTGTAACTGTAAGTCCTGGTTGACCCTGACAAATAAATATAAATTTTCCACATTCATAATTTTCTGTGTATTTTAAATTATAAAGTTTCTGGGCTGTAACCTAAATCCAGGTCGACCAGAACTTCTTCTTCTTCAGCGATCTCTGGTCATGCGCATAATCCACTGTGGGTAATAAACTGGGATGTCTTTTCAAGGTCTCTTAGGTTTCCCCAAAGCTTAGTTGTCAGTTCTATTGGGTGTTGCCATATGTCGCTCCGCAGCTCCGCCAGGAGAGGACAGTCTTGCAGGACATGTTCTGGAGTCTGTTCAGCACGAAGGCACCGGCAGAGAGCTGTTTGGCTCATACCTAATTTATGTGAGTGTTTATTGAGTCTGCAGTGTCCAGTGCGTAAGCGAAAAACTGTGACTTGGTCTGTTCTGTTCAAGTGTTTCAGAAAATCTTTTTCGTAGTTATAACCAGTGTTGGTTTTCCAATCTGTTTCTGATTTTCTCTTAATGAGAGTTTTGACTTCTGGAAAAGATCGACCAGAACAAAGCCACTTAGACTGGTGTGATAGTCAAACCCACAGACTCTGGCAGAGGGGTTAAGTGTAAAAAATCAAGATAACACTGACTGATCTTAGACATGGTGGCTGTAAGTCTGTAAAACTGAGGCATCAGATAATTATCTAGGAGGCCAGAACTTTAGGGACAGGTAACTGGTGATAAAAGTAATTATCTCCTCCTGAGATGATGTCTTGGGTGAACTCTTAAGACTCTTGTTCAGTTCAGGCTGAGCTGGCAACATACGTACATGATCCTTCTACTGATATGTATGATCAGATTCATACCTCGTTCTATAAGACCATATTAATCTATGTCCTTTTATTAAAAAATCTCTTTGCCAAAATTAATATTAAAAAAAAGAACAAAGCATGAAAATGACTGTGAATCAAAAATAAAATATACTTACAGGGTCTCCTCTATCACCCTTAACCCCAGGACTGCCTGGAAGACCTGGCTCACCGGGGACCCCACCGTCGCCCTTCTCTCCTTTCTGTCCAGGAAATCCCTGGATACCTGTTTCTCCAGGGCTTCCACGGTCACCTTTATCTCCTATAGTAGTCATTGAAAAGTGAAAATACATTTTACTTCTGTTAGTAAAAATCTACAATTCCATTTAATCTCTTTTGCATTCACTGGTTGTAAACTTCAAAAAAAAGTCCTGGTTGACATCCAGTTTTGGATTTTAACTTTATTCTTGCTAGAGGACCTGAATGTTGTATACACATCACTTTTTTTAAACAAATTTTGTTTATTTATGTGTGGACTACTGGTTCCTCATCTCTCAGGAAGATGAATGACTTCAAAGGAAATACCAACCCTATCTACACTGGCCAGGCCCCTAAAGAGGAAACCTGCTCCTAGAATGACCACGGAGAGTTGTAAACAGGTCTTGGCCAGTATGCATTCGGGTTGTGGTGCTCTACCACATGTGACTCAGCAACTCTGCATGTCAAATTAAATTTAATATAAAGTAGCATCACATTTCACGGGAATTAACTGCCAAAAACAGTCAACTGCTGCTTGTATTTACCATCTGTAGACAGAGGGGATCTTTGAACCCGAGATTTTACGCCCGCATGACTAGTGCTGTTGCCATGGACTGTGCAGGTTAGAATGTTGTTGTTGTTGCCCCCAACAGAAACAAATTCCATCACCTTACTGAGGATTCAAACCTGGGTTTGCCGCATGAGAGCCCAGCATTCTTAACCATTTGGCCAGCCATTCCTATAAACTATCATCATTTAAATTCAGCTATCCAAAAAGGGAGAGTAGGAAAAAACTACAATAAAGAGGAGATTCTAAAATAAATTGCATGAGAAAAAACTGTCAGTAAAAAAGCAAATAGGAGAAAGTGCTGAACAAGTCATGTAAGTCTACTGGAAGTCAAAGCCGTTGGGATAATTCTGACAAAAACTTTTACTAAGTGCAGATTAGTCTATAATTATTATTCGGCACCACATGCCTGATGTACCAGTTACCTATAACAGATCTGTCTCTCCCCCGTCCCAGAGGGGGCGTGAAAACCTTAGAAGTGTAACAGAAATTACCATAGCCATGCCATTGTTTTGTCACCTGTCAAAATTGTTGTTAAGGATGTCAACAGTGTTAAACAAGTGACACGACAGTGGAGAATAAACATGGTGGTCATTATGACTGTTTAAAAATGGCCACCCCACTTTTGACATGCACCAAAGAGAAGCAGCATTTTTTTTTCTAAGGGGGCTTTAAATTAAAAATTAAAAGTGTGACAGAAATTACAATAACCATGCCAGTGTCTTGTAACATGTCAATACTGTTAATAAGGACATCAAGAATGTTAAGCACATAACAGTGCAGATAAACATGGTGACATACAATTAAAGTTTAAAGATGGCCACCCCACTTTTGACATGCACTGAAAACGAGCAGCATTCTGTTATGTTTTTTTAATCAGTGAGGGGGGTGAAACCTATAGAAATTCATCAACAAATGAAGGTCCATTATGTTGACTTTAACACTTCTGACAGGTTTTAAGACAATGGCATGGTTATTGCAGTTTCTGTCAAACTTGAAAGGTTTCCATGTGAAGCTGCCCACAATTTAAATTAAGTTTTTATTATGGTTACTTAACTCTCTAAGCCCAAGGAACGCATCATACGTTCACATGTTTCTATCGAGAAGCCCAATGAACGCAAAATGCGCCGATTTTATGACTCTCTTTACGACCCACAGGGCCTGCGATGCTAAACCCCCTGGGACTCAAAGAGTTAATGACAGGATACATGAAAAAATGAAGTAAAGAAAAGGATTCTTTTTCATGCCATAACACATGTGACATATGATGCTAAACTCATAATATTTTTTATAGACCAGTCAGCACTTGATCAATAATGATGTGGTCAAAAACATGTGGTTCAAAATCTTTATTTCTCAGCTTATTTCCCGGTGCTAACTTTTTGCTGGGTCGACTTGGAAATCAACATCAATTTTAATAAGTCTGATCTGATGCTGATTCAACTCCAAGGCTTTCCAGAATCTAGTCATTGTGCTATCACTGCTACGTAAAATTTTAATTGCACAGACAAATTTAAATGAGATAACCTACAAGATCAATTGCCATAAAAGGCCTGAGAAAGATCATGGTTGCTTGTCAAATGAGTTAAAATTACCCTGAGAGATTAAGTCCTGGGCCTTACCAGGGATCTGTACAGGAGTCTTAGGATATTTGAAACTGGTGTTATAACTGACAGCTGCATGATCTGTGTAATGTATTCTATACACAATATACAGAATATCAAACCATGGGAAAGCCTGGAATCCATATAAATAGCATGAGAAATGAAAAACAAAATTCCCTGCATGACCGAATGGACGAACACAAAATGAACCGATTAGGCCAGTTCTTGCAGCATCTCTGTCAATATGAAGATGAAGGAGAAGACATGCTGAATGGGAAAAAGGGGGGATGTTGAGCATGAGTAGTTAAGCCTCATAGCTAGTGCTGTCACCATGGACTGTGCAGGTAAGTTAGGATTGTATTTTTGCTCTCAACCTGGACACTTGTGCATACAACCAGTTTAGTGGGTTTTTTCCTTCGACCCCCTGTGCAT